TCCTTCATTACCACAGACTCTTGCTCATACATTGTTTCATGAAATTCTTGTGACAGCCAATTCCTTGTGGTACAGTGACTCTGTATACTACTTCCGTCTTCTTTTATTGCTTCCTAGATCATTTAATATTCTGCCGAAAGCATCCTTAAGTATGGAAATTCACAACTTGAATTTGTTCTTCAATTTCTTCAGCTTAAGAAATGCTGAGTGAGTTCAGTCCTTTGATTTTTCTGAATCCAGCTCTTTGCATATTTCATTATAATACTATACACATCAAAAAAACTTCTCCAACAGGGTAAAAAGGAAAGCTAGTTGGCAGTGAAATATCTGATAAGGGACTCTTATCTAAATTTATAGAATACTCCAGCCCTTCAACAAGAAAAACAATAAACAACTCAATCATAAGGTGGGCACAGGATATGAATAGTCATTTCACCAAAGAAGACATTCACGTGACAGGTAAACACATGAAGAAATATTCTCCAAAACTCCTAGCTATCGAAGAGATGCAAATCAAAGCAATTATAAGAAGGGAAAAAAAAACACCCCAAAACCAACTATGAGATATCATCTCAGCCAAGCAAGAATAGCAAAGTTCAACACAGCAGCCAACAACAAATGCTGGTGAGATTGTAGAGAGATTGGAATTCTTATTCACTGCTGATGGGAATGTAAAATGGTATAGCCACTATGGAAGGCAGTCTGGTGTTTTCTCTAAAAGTTGTAAACAGAAATACCATTTGACCCCGAGCTGCTACCCAAACAGATGTATGCATACTCATGTTTATTGTGTTATTCACAATAGCAAAGAGATAGAAGCAACCCAAGTAAACTATGGTATATTCACACAATGGAATATTACACAGCATTGAAAATCAGTGAGCTCATGAAACATTATACAACATTACACCACATGTATCCCAGGGGTACATTATCCTGAGTGAAATATCTCAGTCACAAAAGGACAAATACGACATAACACGACTGTTCTAAAAGCAGGAATAACATAGAGGGTTGGGGAAACTAGGAAAAGAGAGGATAGATAATGAACACTGCATTGGAAGAGACGAGAGCAAGAACTGTTTAAAAGGAATATATGCATCATATGTACGACAAGAGTCATGAAAAAGAGGTGTATTGAAAAGTGGACTGGGAGAGGGTGAAAATTGTGTAATAATGAATTAATATTTTACAAAATAAAAAAGAAAGTGAACTAGGGGAGGGGAGAGGGTAGGAGTGGGAGGAAAAGGTGCAACAATGAATGCATGGAAAACGAACTTTTCTCTAAACATTGCTTTAAATCACAATTTAAAAAAATTAAATGAAAATAGCCCTGCTGTAATTCTGTCCTGC